CCAGGAGGCCCTGGGTTGGGCTCCTCATGGCTGCAGGCGACCGGGTTCGCAGGTCTGCGGCAGTCAGGACAGTCCCACACCTCTTGGGGGTGAGGAAAGATGTCCTTTGCCAAATATTCCGCAAGTGGTGAAAGTAATTCCACTCGAGTTTCAAACGGTTCAAGTACCAGTAGCAGCTTCAAGGTGCTCAGCACGGGTTAAACTGCTTCAACATAGCTGATAAAAGAGCTGCTCCGTGGACTGTCTCATATGTGTTTCTTGTAACCTTTTCAAACAAGTGTCAGGAATAAATTAAGAAAAACAAGGTCTTGTGGCTAAGAAACAATTAACAGTGACCAGCATTAACACTGTCGACTCTCAAAGATTTAGCAGAGTAAAAAAAAAAAAAAAAAAAAACCCAAGGAGCGAGTAAAATGTAAAATTGCTCACTTACAAAAATGAGTATCTCCAGTCTGCTTGCTAAAGTACGTTTATGCCACATAACACAATATAGGCGCAGCATTATCCTAATGTAGCTATATGGTTCAAGCAGTGTACTAATATTTCTGGATGGCATTATTGAGTGTCTACCTCTCAGAGGTACCACAAGGATACCCGCACTGCCCAGTGACTCGGTCATCCTAACTACATGTAAATCATTAATAGTTCAGCATATTATAACATAAGGCCATCTTTCCTTTAAGTATGCAACATGTATTGTGAAATCTGCACTACAGATGGTTCTGTTCACCCTTGTTTCATGTCACCGGATATATACTGATCTCATCTATCATGTCACTGTTACCCCTCATCAGATCACAGTAACATTACACTGACTCAAGCTTATGTCAGAAAAACTCTTGAAAGCTGCATGAAGTATCATGGCGTAAAATTAAAATAAAGGTTAATGTCCTTTTTTATTGTTGACTAGTTCTCTGAAAAGACCAAAGGGAAGGTAGCCTCTGAAGCCTGATATATTTATTAATCTGAGGACCATCAAAGAGTACCAAATGCAGCAGTCAAGCCTGGCTTATCGTCATGTGAGGAGCAATTACAAGTGGCTGTAGCAGCAGTAGTTGCAGCAAAATTAGCAATTCTGCTCTCAAGTTAGCACTGATGAAATGAAGATGGTAACACACAGGGGCAAGTAAGACATGTTAAATTGAGCAATAGCATAATTGCCAAGCTCAGGACAACCTTCAGATTATTATTTTTTTCTCTAAAAATGCATTACAGAATAAGTAAAACATGCATTCAGTATACTTTATGGGGGTGTGTGTACATTGGTAGAGCAAAAACAATTCTGTGGTTTGTATCACATATATCATAGAAGTTCTTTAGAGATCAATGAAGAGTGAATTTACGCCAGTGAAAAATTTGGATGGATGGCTATACAAATTTAGCAATATCTAACCAGGAAGAAGGTAGAGAAGGAAGAAAATACTTGCTTAATATTAGCCAGAAATTTCCATCCTCCAAGTGGAAGAGTTACTTTTGTTGGTGTGGGGTTAATTCGTTTTCCATCACCTGTTTGATCTTTAGCTTCTTTACCACAAGTCAAATGAAGTGACAGTTAGACATCATAGAATTGCTCGGGTTGTTGAGGTTTTCTTTTTAGATGTGGGGGAGGCACACTCTAATTTTACTATATAACTAGACTGGCTAGCAAATTTAGTCAATAATTACACTGTGATGTCAGCGTACCATTTCTTTATGCCCCAAACACTATATTAAAGACACCTTCTGGCCTGCACAGCCTGCAGTGTCAAACAAGCAGAGAGTGGGAGATGAAAGGATTACCAATGAAAAAATGAGAACAGATAATTCAATAACTCACCAAAGGTCAATGAGCCAGAGCAACAAAGTGCATCCAAATCTCCTGGGTAGTATGTCCACAACCAGCTAGCGTCTCACAAAAATCAATACATATTGTGACCACTGCTGTATGATGACATGGCCTAGGTTTGAACCAGCAGTCCAGGAGTGTGAAGGGTGTCCTGTTCTATTATCTACTAAGGTGTTCTGCAACCTGCATTGATAAAAGAACAAAAGTAATTAACATAAATCCTGCCAATATTAGATTGCTGCACATGTAAAAAAAAGAAAAAAGGAGTCTTGTTCAATAATTTTACTGATTTGTGTGTTTATATATACATTCTATTGGTTGATGCATAAAGTTTATTGATTTGTTTGTGCTTTGGATATTCGCCTCTGTAATAAATTGGTATTTTATGAATTGAGCTGATGTATGCAAAATATATTGGTTGGTGTAGGGATCAATACTCAGAAAAATATATTCTCTGTGGACACATGGGCCATACTATTTTGATGTTTAATAAATTAGATTAGAGCATACGCACACTTGGTCATAAAATAATTTCATTTGCTAGCTGCATTTCTAAACATAGGTATAACTGTTATTAAACTTGTGATGATCTGTAAAATTCTTTGATGTATATAGCGTTATCAGTTATGTTTATCTGAAACTATAAAAATAACTAGAGTAACTACGTAGGTGGATTGACTCCATTTATCTGACAGACTACTTCTACAGAAGCACAAATCAAATTTTTTTATTGGAAATGTACTCAATCCTCAGTTCTAAAAATACAATTTAGAACTGAATATTTGGAAAAATTTTCCAGCCCAATTTTCCAGGTTTTTTCAATGTATGTACTTATTTTCAGGACCTTGAGTACATCAACAGGATCTAATTGTTGCAAACAGCCTCCTCTGGGACCCACACCTGTACATCTTCTGTCCATTGGCCCAAGCGCTGCATTTAAGTTCAGGGTCTTAGCCTCGCCCCTTTCCCTTATCTGAACTATGTTGTAAGGATGTCGTGCCTTGCCTTGCATCTTGCTGCTTTAAGGCCACATAAGTGTCTGGTGGTCAGGGGCCTGTTGGCTGAACCTGGCTGCTGTCACTGGACCTGCTCTGCTCCTCTCATTCAGGTATCGTGGGACTGCCTCCCTTGCGCATGAATCTCTGCCTCTGCCTGCTGTGCTGCCGTCACTGCCTCCCGGTTTGCCTTCCCTTGCAGAGCAGCGCACCCTTGCTGTTCCTGATACCCGTCCTTTTCCGTACCAGAAGTAAACCAAGATCTTTCCAGCAATAGAAACAAAACCCTAGAGATAAGGTGTATATACACAAAGTCTTTTCATGTGCAAGTACAATTTTGTTCTGACTCTCTCTCTCTTAATATATGTAAGCTTTGTAGGAAAAAGTCTTTTTCCGCATAGCTCTAAACTATGCTTTAAAAACGGGTCTTTTGCACAGTGACTATTAAATCAAAATGTACTGAAATAACCTGAGTAGTGTTTGATGTACTTTTTAACGTAGCTACGTGGGAGTATTTCTGGTTTGGACTGCGTTAAAAAGAACAGCAATATTTGTTCTTTCTTGGCAGGATTACTCCCCCTTTAAGAGAAAATGGAAGACGGTAAGGAAACCTATACTTAAGCCTAATCCTAATGTAAAAACTGCACTACTGAGGGAACAGGGAATATGTTGTATCATTGCATGGTAGAGAGAAAAAACACGGCTGTGAATCCTTTAGTTTTATTATTATTAAATTATGCTTTCCAAATGAATATCAAAGCGCAGCAAACTCACTCTAAAGCATATTTAGTGACAGAAACATGAACTGTGAAGCTGATCAGCAGCTGAGTGCTTCAGATGAGAAACAGGCCAAGGGTTTTTTTGGAAAGCAAAAACAGTACCAGATCTGTCAGTGGACTGGGTGTGCCTGTCATTCTTGGTTTCTTCTTGAATGATGAATAGAGGTGCAATGACACTAGTGCAGTACCCCAGACCAAAGTTATCTTGCTAATGGGTCAGTGGCAGAAAGATGAGGTGTGAAGCTGGGTTTAGAGTAAAAACGATGGAGCTTAAGAACAAGATAGAGATAACAGGTTTTTAGCCAGCTTAACACTTGAAAGTCGTAGGGGTCAGTTTTTCATCTATGGGAACTAGCAAAGTATGGTCACATCTTGTTTGTGCTTCTTTCTTTTGCTAAACTTTGTCTAGTCTGCCTGTTTTGTTTAGTTTGTAAATCATCTAGGGCAAAGACCTAGGGCAAATGAGGATAATCTAGCCAGATGTCATCTTGCCAGCTTGTTCAGTGTCCATCACACCGCATATGCAAGATATGGAAAGTAATTATAACTTTAAAACCCTAGTTCTTATTTGACTTCCCACATGGCTGCTACCAATCTGATTTTACTTATAGGGTTCAACAAGGCTTCATATCTGAAGTTATATGGCTAACAAGGGACTCACCCGTTTTCAAAAAAATGTTAATAAGGCTAGATGTGCAGGCAGGTCAGCTTATGCGGCTCTTAAAAGAAGTAGAAAAAGGGTAACAACAAAAAATATTGTTCTTGTAGGTCCTCATTTAGCAATGTGATCCAATGCACTTCAGCTATTTGCACCATTGTTCTTTAGGTGAATTTATTTGGTTAAGCACCCTGTTGAATGAACACCACAGACAAAAGTATGAACAGTGGTCTTCTATTTCACTGCGAAGCTATGATGAACAATAATAAGACTCAATCCAGCTAAAGATGTACTCTACTTAGAGCTCTCTCGAGGAACGTAGAATGTGGCTATTATAGTCTCATTAAAACAAACCAAAAAAAAAAAAAAAACAGAAACCCTCAAAACAGTGCTATGTATTCAAGACAATTCCATAGTTGCTTTGTTATCTAGTCAAAAAACAAACTCTACATCCCTAGTAAATTTTCAGAAGTTCAGACTAGGTCATTTTTTCTACAGATTTATCAGAAGTATCTTCTGTTTTAGGCGCGTGAGTCCTTCATCTTATGAACCATGATGCAACCTCCTAAATAAATAGCTTTCCTACTGGCAACATGGCAAAAACAAATTCTCCATCTGATTAGAAACAGGATGGGAAGTGACTCATGAAATAACTAATTACTCATGCAGAGATTTTCCTGAGATGAAAAAAATAAACTTCCTTAGCTCAAGAAAATAAGTATGAGCTTTCATTTTTGTGACACTATAACTATGTAGCTCATTTTAGAGGTATTTGTGCAAGAATAGATTCAAGCTAAACTCCGGGATGTGAAAGTGGTCAGACCGTAAGGGGGGAAGGGGTAAGTATGGATTATTCTGCTGTAGTTGTCTTTTCTAATGTATGCAAGTACATAAAAATGTTGATTATTTTTCTGTGTACTACACCTTTAATTTCAGAAGATGTAGCCACCTGCAGAAGAAGCTAGAATTTTATAAGGAAAAGCTAATTCAGCTTGTAGCTTATGTGACTGTGGTGTTTTGCTTTTTAAGATGAAAACACATAGTTGATCGCTGCCAATATAGCTATGTTTATCCAAGTAACAAGTTAATCTGCAATCCTAGATGTGAATATCCTGAAACGCAAAGCTCAGATTGATTTCTAGTGAGATTCATATTCTTCTTCTCAGATCTACTTTGAGTTTAAGCAAACATTGGCTATGGGTTAGCCTCCCTGTCAGGGAGTTAACAACCTCAAATTATGAATGAGCACTGTGCATGGTGGGATATTGACTAGTGTTCTGCAGTGATATTCTCATGTGGAAATGCCCCTGCCTACATCTGTTACTTAAGAACAGCTTCAGACCCACATCCGAGACATTTTATATTTTACAAACCATAATGCCATGAGGTCAGCATCTCGTCTGTTGTTAGGAAGTTGTCATATTTCATCTTAACAAATATGCTTCAATTTGTTCATTAGGACTTGTCTTCCTTGAACAGATTTATTCTTAGATAATATATCTAGTTTCTGTTAGCTTAAAAGTTAGCATCCAGGTTGAGGGAGGCTTCCAGCAGTTTAATCAATCACTGATATTTCAGCCTGCACCAAGACTTTGGCCTGCCCTATATCGCTAGTTAAATCTTTTCAATGTGCACATGTGAAAGTGCATAGCCGATTCATCAGAGAACAAAAATCCATATAAGTACTTGACTTATTTCAATAAGTTCTTGGACTTAGAGGGACTAGGTGTGATCAATAAGGAAAGTAACTGTTATGCTTGCCAAAGTGCAAATAAACCATATCAGACTGAGCTGCACTGGGTAGATTTTGCTTGTTCCTGTACCACAGACATCAGTGGCCCTGTAATTTTTTTCCTTAACTTGAAGCCTGTTTACCTTGGAAAGGGTGATCTAAGGCACTAAATTCCTGCTAAGGAAGAGTTAAATATTGTATAAAAAGTCAGGAATTCCAGCCACTGAAACATGTCCTTCAGATTTCCTCTGAGCTCGTTCAGGATCTTCTGTTTCCCCTGCACATGCTCCACAGTAGCAACATCATGTGGCCACAAACAGGCTGCCAGCATTGTACCTGCCCAAGGCCAGTGGGACACTTATTTCCACCAGCAATTTAAAGTTGTAAACTGAGAAACCATACATCTGCTACTGCTTTATAACTTTTGCCCAAGCACACTGTGATGTAGGTCAAGCCAGATTTCCAAGAACTGCAGCACTACAGATAGTCACTAATGTAGTATCCTTGCATGAGAATAAGTCACTTTTTCCATACAGTACACTTATTCTGTTAGTAGATATATAACCATGAAGGTTGTGTTTAAAAAAAAAGAAAAAAAAAAAAGACAACAGGACTTCCTAAGTTCTATGTAACGCTCATGCTTAACTCTTTGATTATGACCAAAAATAACAATTGTAAAATGCAATATTTTTACTAGATGAATACTTCACTCCTAACATAGATGGTTAGGAGCTAAACAAGCATTGTTGGATTTCTGTTCTTTTTCCTAAAGGGAAAGATCCATTTTAGTGGAAGGAGATCACTACAGGAAAAATAGTTATCTGCTTAAATGACTTTAGATATCAAATTGCTTTTTTCAAACTAACTCTGTTTAAGACCATAATATGTAGAGTTACTGTTTAAGAAATGATCATGCAAAAGAAACCCTCATTCCAATGCCCCGCTACTAAGCAGTCCTGGCCTCACTACCATGAGTGTACACTAGCACATGCAGATTATCCATGTATCATTACCAGATAGACACAAAGAACATTCTTTTTCATTTGCATACATTCAGGGAGTATAGAAATTCTATTAGCTGTAGCACATTGAGAACAACATTAAGCAAGGACAATCATTTCAATACCATCAAAAGATGGTCAGTCATTGCTGAGAAGTATTAGATACTGAAAAAAAATCTATCATTGCTGTCCTAGAGGTCAGTGAGAGGCAACAGACATTCTTCATGACACTAACACAGATTGTGCTCATGCAGCATGTTCATGTTTTACACTGTAATCATTACTGTAAAACATTTGACTGGGTCGTGAAACCGGACAATGTCAATTAGTGTTCTATATGCAATTCAGATGGATTATGCCCCCAAGGTAGACTGCTGGGGAGATTTAAGGGATGCATTATTGCATTACTGGACCGTAATGTATATAAACCAAATATGAGTTGCAACTCATGACATGTCTCATGGAACAGTTATTTCAATTTCCTATACAGTCTTATAGTCCTATATATAAATGTGTGTATGTTAAAAATGGCAAACAAGTGTAAGTAACAAAAAATACAAGTATATGTATATAGGCATGTCTGTATACAATTACGTTTATACACCACAGTTTCAAGTAGCAGAAAATACTAGCATGTCTTCATTTTTAATGTAGGCAGCTGCCAATATTTTTCACTTATTCTGACAAGAGTTAAAGAACAGAATACCCAGGCACTTCCAAGATAAGCCAGTATCGAAACATTAAACACAAGCATCCAAGGTTCTGCAGATGTTGTCACCTCTTCTCATAGGTAAAGCTTTTTGCTTGACCCAGCATATTTGGCTGCTACTAGCACCTGAGACTCTTCTCTGCCTTCCTGGAAAAGTCAAGTGAAACTCCTTCCCTCCTCAGGAAAGTGATCTAATGAAGGTGTCAGATGAGTATTTCCTAGCGACATCTAAAGTTTTTCTTTGCTCTTCCTTTCTTTGATTTCTTAAATGCTTTTGACGGAACTACTTCTTAAGCACTGCTGCAGGAATGGTCTGGTTCATTCATCTGTAGATGAATTCTTACGATGAAGCTTCTAAGAAGATCCATTGAGCTGTATGGAAATACAAGTAAACATGCTCACAGGAAAAGGTACAACATATTATGAAGCATGAATACTTTTGGAAATGCCATGGTTTCCTTAAAATCCCCCTTCCTTTCCAATAGTTCCTTTCTGTTTAGCCAAACAACTTTCTTAACTGGTCTTCTCAAACCCAAAATATAAGACTTCTATATCTACTGATGATGTGACACCATTATTTGTTCTCAGCTCTCTATGCAGTGACAGCAGAACAGTACTTTTTCTCTGATAAGGTTTTATATAGGCTAGAGCTAGGACTTCAGCTCCCCAAATGATGGAACTCATCTTGTGACAATGGAATTTTGCAGTATCACGTTGCATTGCACTACCATCCTGTATTTTGAAAGTCATGGGGAACCAAGATATTTATTGTAAAAATAATACTCTGAAAATAATTCAGACAAGTTAGAAGTATTTGCAGCTTGTTTCCTGTGCACTTCTCAAAGTGGATCAATGGCTCACTAATTTAAAAGTACAGTAACCTAAGATGTGGAACATAGTCACATTTTACTGTACTGAATTATTAAGAATGCAGATATATGAAAGCTTAACCAAGGACAACACTTATAAAACTCTTTTTCTAGTTTAGAAGACTTTAATGCATCCTCAGATTCTTTATGAATTCAAGCCATAGGGTTAGAATTTAATACATGCTGGACTTTGCCACTTGACTTCAAGATGTTTTCCCCTATAGAAGAATTTGAGGCCCTATATGTAATTAAGTATCTGTTGTTGCTGTAAGGAGGAAAATATGGCTGAAGTAAGAGTTTACGGTGAGAGAACTTCCCCGTAGACAGAAAACTAAGCTATATAATATCGTTTTGCTTTGCACCTATGCAGGCAATGTGGGGAACAGGTTCGAGTAATAGGTTAGGAGTACACGTTTTCTCAGGTTGTCACATCATATGGAGTTTCTACAGTGTGAATCTTCTGTAAGGAAACCCAGCAGCTGAAGCTTAATTTGGGAGTTTTCTCACAAATCTGAATTTCAAGTGTAATCGCCACAGGTATTTTGGCAAACTTGGCGTTTAACCATGGTCCAAGGTATAGAAAGCAAGCACAGACTTCTCTGAGAGCTATAAAAATTGTCTGGCAGTGAGAGACTTAATGCTGTTAATCTATTTAGCTCATCTAAAAGAAGATTGAGAGGTGATTATGTTATAGTGTGCAAGTATCTTCATGGGTACTTATTTATTGAAAACTAAAGGAATCTTTAGCCTGGGAAAGAAAAATGTAGAAAGAACCAATGGCTGGGAAATTAAAGTTAGATGGATGTAAGGTCCTGCATAACTGAAAAGGGAAGTAACTGAGGTATTTTAGAGAGCTTGTTTTATCTGTGGGTAAATCTGCTTTTAATTTGACTGCTGTTTTATGTCTTTTAAAAAGGGCAAGTAAACAAAATCAGGAACGACACATGCAGCTTGTAGAGAATTAGGTTCTCATGTCAGTAGTGTTGAAAGGGATTGAAAAGCTGCATAAGCAGTGATGCACAAAGTAAGAAAGTAAATTATGGAAGCTGGCACTGAGTAGTTAGAAAATAAATCCAGTGGGAATAGTTTGGGGGACGTTGGATTAGGTTTACAATTGAAAAACTATTTAAATGACCAGGAAGTCATCAGAAAAAATGGATTGCATAGCTAAGAATAAGCATTTTATGTGAGAAATTGGATAATAATCCTCTGAATTTACAAGGGTGAAGAGAATTGGACAGGCTCCCAGGACAAAAAGGGCCTCTTCCGAATTGTTCCAGAACAACTTCTTTTAATCCATGTGTGAATTCGTATACTTTCTCACCTCAGGAAACTGAACAAAAATCAGTTTTTTTTTTTGACACGTAAGTTTTTTTTTTTATTTATTTTTTGATAACTTGAAGCCATGTAGTTCAGTTGGAGTATCTAAATATGGAATTAAGATTTCATATCATTATTCACAGATATTTGTGTCTTGGGTAGAGACTTTGTCATTGCTTTGATTTGATCTTTTTAAATACTTTTTTGGAAGGCACAATTCAATTAATCTCTAATAATGTCTGAACCTCTATATTCCAGTAGTACAGATGAGGTCATCAAGATTGTTTAAGATAGAATTAGGATGACAGTAAAAAACTTAAGAAAATAAAAAGATGAGTGATTGAGGCTCTTCATTTGTGTGGTTTAGAAATGCAGAGTTTAAGTTTTATCACATTATATGAAAAGTTTTCTTAATTTTTCCAAATATTCCTTTATTTTGGGTGATTTTTTTTCTGTGTGTAGCTCTTCTGTATGTAGTTATGCATACTGAAATGTCTATACATCCAATTACTTAATGTAATTGGATTGAATTACTTAATTCAAATTTCAAATAAAATAAGTTTCCTTTTTTGTTACAAGAAGATGTAGCACACCTGCATGACATGCAAACTTTGCATTAGCTCGCATTGGGTTCACAATGCAACACTCAAACCTGTATGTTTTAGAGGTATTTGAAATGTAAGTATTAGCTAATCTAACGAAATCTAAACTAATGATTTTTTGGCCTCACTCTCCACAGTTTATGCACCTTTTCCCTTTCTGGTCGTGGCTCTTGATTGTGAATACTCTTAATTTCCAATTTTCAGTCACTAGTTATAAAGCAAACTACCTTTTCATTTAGCAAGCCAACTGAATCCAAACTGAGGTTTTTAAAGTTCATGTAACCTATGGTAAACACCAGCTCCAAGGTTCACGTTCATACTTCATCCAGGTTCTGCGTACACTTGAGAGTACCTGTTGTTCTATTTATTCAGATTGCTCTTGGAAAAAAGTCCTTAATGTACCAGGATGAGAGATGGATGATGCTCCTGTGGTGTGGATAGCTAAGGAATAAGAGGTGCAAGGGCACCTTAGGGTACATCTGTCCCACCGTGTGGATTCATCTGATTTCTATCAGTATATATCTCACTTTTTGTTAGTTTATAATTACATTTATGTCCATAAGCTGGAGAGAAAATAAACATTCACATCAGGTATAATTTTAGAACATGCCCAATTAATTTAAATGCTGAGCCTCGTATGTATAACTGACTTAGGTGCCTAATGGTAAGTGCCGTGAAGAAGCTTGATGTCCTCAAATACCACAGTGTTTATCCTGAATATGATACGGTAGAGTAAAATTCAAATGTAAACAGACTTTAAGTTTGCAAGTATTTGGTACGGGACGGAGCAAAGGACTGAGTCTCTGGTTCTGATCCGTGGTCCCAGAACTGGTAACACATTTTGCATTAAAATTGATAGATACAACTGGATCTAGACTTTGGACCAGCATACTGAAATACCAAACCTCCTGTAAAATGAACAAAACACTAAGCTAAGGAGTCACTACTCCTCCTGTGGTCTCTAAATCATGCAATCCTGTCTGCACAGTGGCCACGAGCCCCGGAAAAGACAACTGAAAAATCCAATGCAAGTTCCATGTCTCTTTCCCAGCTGAAAATAAAGCTGTAACTGAAGTCTTTGGGTGATTTCAGCTCGTTCTCATATAGATAAGGGTTTTTGCACCTTTTATGACCTTAATTGTCTCATAGCAAAACAGATATTATGGCAAGTTTCTGCTCATTTGAAACAATTCTGTACAGATGTTTCACAGGATAAGAAAGCTGATCAGAACACATTTGAAATTCAGGAAAAGATAAATATAAAGAATGAAACAAACAAGTGCAACTGACACTGCCTGGACCTTTAATTGATGTATTGTGCTGACAGCAATGCTGAGCATTTACATTTTTTGTTCAAAACTGTGGAAACTTTAACCCCTGGGAAGCTTAGTCATGGGAATTACTGCATAGATTTTCTCATAATACTTTTTGTTTCAAAACAATATTGAAAATGAGTGGAGTAATGCAAAACAAATAGCATCCAGCCAAGAGCTTTGCCTAGATCTTGATCTGAACCTTTCCTTGGGCTCAAACAAGCCGAGACAGTGTTTATAAAACCTTTTGTCATTTCTGTTCTGATCGCCAAAGGAAATGTGATCACGCTGTGTCTCTTTCTCCTCCTCTGTGTCTGTCAGCTCCTACCTCTCTCCAACAAAGTTTAAATCTGTTGGCCAAATTCAGACTACTTTGACAGAGGTAAAGAGGCCTCAAACATTTCACATAAGTTCATGCATAAATAGAAAACACAGTAGACAGATTTGACTTGCTTTGTCATTAGCTCAGTCCTAATTAGATTTTTTTTAGTAAATTTATACTAGTGAATATTCTAACTATGGAATAAACTTCAGCTGGAGCTTGCACCATAGCAGATGCCAGAGCAATCTAAGAAGATACCAGACATCAGCAGTTCTGCTGCTTACAGTGCTAGCAATTAGATTTCTGGTTCCTACACAGGTAGGAAATCTCTTCCTACGATTTTATCTTTTTTATTCCAATTCCATCACCATACCACTGGGAAAATGATGTGAAATAATTCTTTTCATCTACTGCATAGTTCTAATACTCTATGAAGTCCTTTCTTCAGCACCATATCCTAGTCCTCAAAGTTTGTTTCACAACTTTGTTCAGCCATCTCTCATCCTTTTTCTTTTTCTGTCCATGAGCACGAATTAAATATGCTTTCCCTAAACAAATTCTATTCACTTGCTTCAATTTCTATTGTATCCTTAATTACACTGTAGTCTCAACAACTGGGACTAAAGCTTTTTGAAACAGTTGATCCTCCCTTGGGTATTCAGGTTTCTTCAATCCTGATTTAAAATTGAAAACACTCCAGGATATGGCCACTTTTTACACATTCCCAAGCCCACAAGGCTCTAAGCAAATAATAATTAATATTAAACACAAATGTAGAAGAAGGGCTATAAATTTAGTGCATGAAAGATTTGTTAGATCTTAATGATATAAATTTAGTTCTTTACAAGGCTATTTGTCTTGAAGCTATAGTAAATACAACCAGGCACATTATGGCTTCAAGATAAATAATATTTTGTGCCTGTATATATAATATATAAAAATATGTTTTCTAGGAATATATTCCTGTGCACAGAAATCCCTTGTGTCAAGTAAGTGCCAAAATTAACAGTACAAACAAATAACTGTATAGATAGATATCTGTTTATTGAAGGAAAAGGAAAAAAAAATCAAATCTTGCTCCAATGGCCAAATTATGTGACTGGAAAGGCATTTTTCCTTTTTGTCTAATTTGGCTGGAGGTCTCAGCTCTTCATTGTAGCTCCTTCTTGCTATCTATTTCTTACATTTCTGTGGATTTTATGATACTGTCGATGGCAGGGTGTGAGGGAGAAAGATTAGATAAAGAACTGTACCCCATGCCTTTTTTTTTCCTCACTGCAAGGTTTAATACCAGGAACATCATAACTACTTGTAATGGTAACATCACTTTTTTTTCTTTTCTTTGAGGGAGGGTGAAGGGTTTTTATACATGCTGATTTCTGCAATTTCTCCCTCCATCGGATCTCCCAGAATTCCAGCTGAGAGCCATCAGTCAGCCAGCGGCACCATGCTCAGGCTCACCGGCTGAGCGCAATGGTACACAAGCAAAAACCCAACTTTGTCTGCTTAAAAAAATAATTCATCTCTAACCCCTGTTGTGCAGACAATGCAGCTGTCCAGAAGATAATGCCATTTCACGTTTGTACAGAATCCTTCATCAAAAACACTTCAAAGTCCTTTTCAAACATAACAAAATTAAGGCCTGCCACATCTTATCTTACAAAGATGGGGAAACTGAGGCAATTGAGCCTAACCAGTCACTCAACATTTTCAGTCTTTTTGTTCTGTGCAAGGGAACTGAAGCTGCTTTCTTCCTTTGTTTCTTTACTATTTTATGAGAAGGATGCTTTACTAACAGTTCTCAGTAATAATTTATACTTTCAAGCCCTGTGAGACCCAGACCCCAACTTTTACCAGCTCTGTGGAAAAAGTCTTTCCTATGCCTTCAGTTTTCGTAGAGAAACTCCACTGAATGTCACTTTTCAGATCTATTCCTGTTGCCATTCTAGTCAGCAGAATATTTTCACTGTTTTATGTAAGGGTTGGATAACTTGTATCCATTTTTGAAGCCTGTCTACTTTCTTCTCTGTATGTCAATGTACACAGCTCAAGTTAAAAATACACAGCACAGCACACAATCAAGAAAGATACAAATGATGTAAAATCATATTAAAAGCAAATCAATTTTACCAGATCATGGCACGTATATATAAAATCTTCAGTTTTTTTAGCTTTTCTCCAAGTCCAATTTTCTCACTTCAGTTGGGAATGGGAGCAGCTAACAGGGCATCTGAGGCATAAGAGGGGGACTGTGGACGTGGGGTGAGATTCTGGCCCTAGTGTAGTCAAAACTCCACAATTACAAGGTTGCAGTGTGGTAAATGTTTTATGGTATAGTGTACTTCAGTCAAAAACTGGAAGTTTCAGTGTAAGACATGCAACTTCTATCTACAATTAAATTTCCCAGTAGAATTACTGATGACTATGAGATTAACTTTAGACTGTCTCCAAAGAAATAGAGATAAATGGCCAGATTCTACTCTCAGTTGGAAAAATAAATATAAATATAGATATAGATCACCATTACCAACATCAGAGGAGACCTTTCAGTTAAAAAAGGTTCTACTTCAGACTTTCAATTGCTCACCCATCACTAGTTACAGGTATTTTACTCAAGAACTGAAACGTATTATTATATCATATATCTATTGTTTTAGGCTGCTCAGCTTTAAGGAAAAGCTATAAAAATTAGACCTTCCTGGTCACGAGGCTTATTTCCTAATCTATTGTTTATAGCTAGCCAGGAAATCACTTGGTACTAGTCACTGTAAACGCCATAGGCAATTGTGTCAGCTTTATCACTTCCTGAGCTAATGCTTGTAGGAAGTAGACATGAAAACAATAAAATTTTCAGTTAAGGTTCATTTACCATTAAAAAAAAAAGCTAATGAAAGTTTAACACTTAATGGCCGCCTCAGTCTAATTAGCAGACTGGAAATCAGCAATAAGGGACATTTGGCAGTCAGAGGTACTGACCTATACCTTATAGTATTTTGTAGTGCATTACTGGAAAGATGTACAAAAATAATCACCCCAAGTTCCAACTTTGAAAGCTTATCTCTTATTCCCAATGACATATTTTAATATGATAGCCAGATTTTCATTCTCAAGCTTTGAAACAAAGGAACTATAGACCATCAAAATACAGCTTCAAATATCATCCAAAAATAAAGATACATATTCATAAATTATGCTTTTCCACTTTATGAAAAATAAATCCAAATCCTACCCTGATCTCCACATTTCAAGGTAGATGAACTACAAAATCTGACAAAAAATTGTTAGCAGCAAATTTGAATGTGAATGTAAATGACAAAGATGTATGAGTGAATCTAGAATTTAAAATAGCAAAAATATCATAGAAGCAGAACGGTTACTACTTCTGCACTTTCCAGATGATAATTCTAGGCAGCTATCTAAACAAACCGTGATTAGAGCAAAGACTAAGCTCCTGAAAGAAGGACAGATTCAATACGGAATCACCCTCTGAAAACTCATATTCTTTGTGTTATCCATGTTTTCTTTTAACCTCGAAAAGCACATATGTATGTGCTTGTACTTTGAGAGATTTATGCTTGATACTAACAGGAAACTAGAAATTATTCCTTGAAGCAGTTCCTTGACAGATTTGGAAGAAAGAACCAATCTACTTTGGAACGAAATATCTACATCATCAGGAAGTACGTATGACTCAGTTTATAAAGCAGAGTGCAAAGTGTATTGTATTTGTTATTTTTATAAGTATAAATATACACCTAAGTGTATGCCCACATAGTTTTTGAAAGAAAATTAAAGTGCAAAGTTAAGCATTCAAAATTTAAGTACTAGAATTAAGCCTTTTGATTATTTGTTTTCTTTTTGTGGTCTAATTTAACTTCATTCAAAAACTTCTAGCCACTAGGATGTCCATTTAGAAAAGGGATTTTTTTATTTATCATTGTGAAGAATTTGCTAGTATTTATGTTTCAGCAGTTTTGTTTCTGTGTACATTTTTTCTCTGTTGTACATTGTTCACTTAAAGCTTTACAGATGCAAATAACAGAATATTCCTTCATTCCTGAGACTTAGACCTAGCTCTGATATTTCCAAATTAAAGCTGTATCACTTCTAGATGTCAGCAACAGGAATTTACAACACTGGCAATGAATACCCAGATATATTTAATGCTAGTATGTTCCATGTATCAGTTATCTCTTTAGCTTTTGTGCAAGAATCTAACATGTCTGACATCCATAGGTCATTGATTAAAGAAGAATGGATTTACATAAACCTATTTTTTTCCTGAAAGAAAAACTGCCACAGATAGGGCCTATTTGCTCCTGTCTGTGCCTGACTGAATTAACATAGGCTGCCCAATCACACTAAAGACCTACTAATACTGAAGATACCTTCAGACTTTGAAATCACTCTGGAATCATAGAAAAAATGAACCTTCAACTTGATAACTACTTTTAATTTCCTGCTTGCTCATAAAGTTATACAATATCTTCCTTTGTGGTGCAGATTTACAGCTGCACATCACTGGAACACAAGAGGACACAAGAAGCAAAATAGCTCATTTGATATCGAGGTTTTACTTTTATGCCTCCAATAAGACTTTTCATTTTTTCAGAATTCCATTTTAGAGGAATTTTGCAATAAAGAAATCTCAGGTCTTTTAAGTCAGTTAAAGGCCAAAGGATTATAGTGAACCTAGGCTCATCTATGGATTTTTTCACTAAAAACCCCCAAAAGTCATGGTTACACTTGTAGCTAAGACAGATTGTTCATCTGACGCGTTGTGGCTGCTCCTACACAATTTTGCAAATACGATGGAGTTTTGCTATGAGGCACTATCCCTCTTCACACCTGTGACTCACAAGTTTGGGGAATGTTCAGCACATCTAGATTGAAATTAGATCACATCTGTTGCCAGCTCGTATGAAGGGTACATCTGAGTTTTGCATAGCTTTAATTGCAACTTACTATGGAGTGTATATACACAAGATCTAAATGAGTGGCTAATATTCCTTGTAGTCTTGTTTTCCATTTTGTGTTTTTGATAGATGTAAAATCAATGAGGAAGTAAAGACATGGTATTGCAATGGTTTGCTTCTGTTGCCAGGGCAGTCTTAGGCTCTAGATAGAGGGGCTTTATGGATTTATAAACAGTAAATGTCTGTATTAGTCACTTTTGCCCGTCCTCTCATGTAGCTAACAACACTGGAGAAAATGTCGTTTCCTTTTTTAAATCACTTAGAAGCAGAAAATAGGATTAAGGAAGAACAAGGATAATGTAGTCACAGGGTGCTGATGAAGGAGCTGCTGATACTCAAAGAATCACAGAAATGATCATTCTTCTAGTATGCTGGGGGAGAAGAGGGGTGCTGGGCGGAGGTGGGGGGGAGGGGAGGAAGGAGATGAGAAGGGATATCATGTCTTTCAGTTCCTTCTATCACCTTCTTGACCTAAAACTCCTTCTGTTCTCCTATTTCAGGTCAAGGCCCCTAACTAGCTGTTAAGCATACTATGTTGACCTTCCAAAATTGGACGGATGGATAAGAGTAGAAGGCTGGGAAATAAACAAACTACTTCTATATGGTCCAAGAAAGTGAGCCAAAGGCAGTAACGCTTTATGCTACAAGGTTCTTCACAGACTCCACACCAAAGCAAGTGATTATTTATTGAATATCAATATATCTTTCTTCTCTAAATTAAAATATAAATGTATGCTAGTACTTTATAGATAATATATATTGAGAGACACAAATCTGATCCCTTACTCTCAGTGAGAAGCAGCTTAGTCCATGATAATTCCACAAAATCCTGCACAGGAAACCCTGCACAGTAAAGCGCTTTATGGAGTGAGTAAAGGAAGAGGAGAGTATGGTTTGTGATAATTATCACCATTCTCAGAATGCTTTTAAATGTAAAGTTAAACACTTATACCTGAACATAAGTTTAGAAAATGCTGCAGTATTAAATAGTCTTTCAGATGCATTAAAGAAAATGATAAAGGAAAACAACTGTTCCTTGATAAGCCGACAGAAAAAATTTCAGTTTAACATCAGAGAACAAAAGCTGAAAGCAAAGTTGCAGCCATAGGGGTCCTGCCAAAGTAAAGCTGCCACAGATATTAGAAACAAGCTTCAATGCAAGAAAAAGTATTTTTTTCATAAATTATGGTTGAGTCTGCTATTGCTAAGCATTACTGAGTTGAAGGTGCAGCGAAACATCTTTCAGGTTACTGTTGCAGTCTGTCTGCTGGTGCTCAGAGCATATTTTGCTGACCGCATTTGTTTAACATGACTCAATCAAAATGAGAGACAACATATGGCTGAACCTTAAAATGATGTAACAAAGAAAAGGTATCACTTTTTATGTCCATATAAAATCATTATTGCAACACTTGAAAGTACTGATATGCTTTGAAAGGGGAGAAGGGCAAAAAAAAAGCATTTCTGTAAAATAAACTAAGGCTGATGAAAGTTTAGTGAAGTGGAATACAGTGGTCAGCAAGTTTTGGGCACGGCCAGCTCATGGACCTACGTGTTTTCTTTGCATTAATCTCTTCTCCTGTGAAACTATGTGAGTGTGAAACTATGAGCAATTATACTACTATTGTGAAATGTAGCCACCAGAATCTTGCAGCTGTAATGTGCTTCCTTTATCTTAAGACTTCCTTACTCCTGTACCCTTCAATGATAGCTGAAAGCACTCAACACCTCTGTCCTCCAAAGTAAGAAGACTTCCAAGCTCTCTAGTAATTCACTATATCAGTTACCTTCCCTTCTGAACAGATAGTATCTTTGTTTTCTCATCTAATCAACCATTGGCAGACATATTTCCAAGCAACAGAAACTGGGCAAGTATGGGTACGCTTTACACTGGCCAGAGATTTGAAAGTAATCTTAATTTATGCAGAAATTAGTCACATTTATAGATGGCCTTTTTCATAAATCCCAAACTCTTCAAGTAGTTCATTAAGCCACCTAATAATCATAGAATTGTTTTTTTTTAAATACCCATTTTTGTAATACATAAAATGAATGATAAAAAAGCCACTTATAAAATTATTTAAAATAAGTGTTTATAAAAATTCACTGATAATTTTGCAGTCCCAGGGGCGGGACCCAGATGTATTTGCTGTTCTGTTAAACTCTCTGCTTAAGTCATGACATTTGGATGAAACAAAAAGCAGGGACACCTTGGGTTCAGACATTTGACATGTTCCAACTAATGCTGTCTCTAGTGCTACTTCGCTTTTCACAGGGGTTTATTGAGAACTAAAACCCTTCCCTTCTCTTCCCTACCTCACTTCTCAGTTTTATCAGATGCTAATTAGGATGATCATGACCGGAAATTCATTCCCTTTCCTATATGACCTTTGACATTTTTCTTTTATAAGGGGGCTCACGTTTCTATCAGATCAATTAGTTAATTGGGCATCACTCCTCTAACACATCTCACATTAAAAAGCCCTCACATTAAATAAACAATCACACTCCTTCCTTTTAGATTGGAGGCTGGAAGCTCATTTTAGCAGGGGTCTGCTGCTGTTTCTTGAGCACTGGAAGCACTTGAGCACTCAGTTTGGTGATGGAGCTGTGTGTAATGCAATCTTCTTCCAAATGAACAGGAATGTTATCAAAATAAACCTGTTCTGCTGCCCCTCTCCTTCCCTGATTTCTCTGCCATTATACTAAGTGAAACAGTAGACTTTTTTTTTTCTTTTTTAATAAAGATAGAAAGGGGAAAAGCCCTCAATTAGACTGAACAAGATTGAGATGGAATTTTATATTCATATGGTATTTTAAGTCCAATATTGTTATTGAATCCTGCGTTCAATTACATTGCAGTTGTACTGTTAATGATTCCCTATATAAATACACAATGTCATACTAGAAACCAAGTATAAGGTGGTTATCAAGAGGTCACGCTGTTTAAAAAATATAGATAAGATGTAGTGGAGGGCCTCTTAAAACTTTTCTCCCATCTACTTTAACATGCTTTTTTCAGATATATTTTGACTTAACCCTTGCTTCTTGCTTCTTGCTAATTTCTTAGTTAGTCAAGATCCCTAGCGACAAAGTTATCTAAAAGAAAATATGGGCTGAGAAGCTAAATACCCTGTGGTTTTACTTTGGAGTATTAGTGCAGCTGTGATGAATAGATTTCATATACATGTAAAGTATAAAAATATATATATTCCCTACA